CATAAAATTTAAACACAACTTTTCATTCGCACGTCTTTTACCAAAAACCAACAGCCGCGATACGACCACTCGCGACGACCGAACAATACAGACTAAAAGCGGTCGAGAAAATACAAGTGAGAAAAACTTAAAAGCCCGAATACATTTATTTAAGAGAAAACCTACATTCGACAGACCAATACAACGCATAAATAAATTGTTCAAGAATACGAGCTGTGAAATTTAGGTTGATACGGTCATATCGAATATGATAAGATAAACTTGTCACTCAATTAATATATTTTAGTAAATTAATTTATCCAAATGATAAAAAGGATTATTTTAAGCTATTTTATCAGGGCAGCGGGATTAGCTGGGGGATTGTTATTGGGTAGTGATTTATCATGAGGTACTGTCCCGTGACATAAAAAGGATCTACGTAAAGCCGTGACGTAGAGGATAATTTTTGTACGAAATTTATGTGTTTATGATTACAGTGTGTTATATTTTTTAATATAAATATATTACATATCATGATACGTAGTAGAAATATGGATACTTCTATAGTGGAATTCAATAGAAATAACAAACTAGCTGTCGCCCGCGAATCCGTCCGTGCGGAATTAAAAAAACAAACTTAGTAGCGTATGTGTTCGACTAGACTATGTTCTATATCGCTGCTAAATTTTAGCGAGATCCATGCAGCTTTCTCGAGATACCTTCAAACAAACATCCATCCAACCAAACATTTATATTAGTCAGATCTATCTAAACAAATTTATCTTTATAAGACTATGACATATTTATTAAAAGAAAACGTATTTGTATCATTAATTTAATTACTAACTGTGAGTTTCTGAGACTAAAATCTCCCTTTAAAATATGTTGTTATCACAGTTTTTTCGAAGGTAATGACAAGAATGACTATATGTTTTATACAGTAATTTTCAAAATGAATCCTTGGACAATAAATAACTTTGTTAGCCAATGAAATGTAAACATAATTTGTAATTTCCATTGATTTCGAATAAACGCCACAGTTTATTTATTTGTTGCGTGAAATTCATTTTACACATATTTATTTTCTAAATCGATTTGAAACGACACGGTAAATTTTTACTATAAACCTACCATTAAATATCAACTATAGAAGAATTCTATTAGCATTAAGTATAACCCTACTAAAACAAATATACCACTGTCAATGGAATCTAAAGGAGAATACATTTTATTCATGCATGCAATATAGTAATCTACATGTCCACCGCCACGTCCCGTTGGGACGGCCTTGTAATATTGTTCTACTATTGAAGTGGGAATCACGCCTGCCGTGAATCTTAGTTATAAACCAATCGAACAGATCAATATATAGTCCTAGATGAAGTATGTTTCAATTCATTAAAGATGTAGAAACTTGGGTAAACTCACGATAGATTTTTACTTTAATTACTGTGGATTTTTGAGCTCAAAGTCGCCGTTTAAAACATATTTAGGGATGTCGATATGTTTTATACAGAAATTATCATCTCAGAAACCGAAACGATTAATAGGCTACTAGTCAAAGATTATTAGAGAAAATAGTAATGGAATTTAATTCCAGACATTCTATTCTCGTCCGTCATATCAACGGTAAAATACAAGCCGCAAGCCCCATAGCTTTCTTTAATAGTAAAAAGTGATAATAAATTTTAGAAAGATATCAAATTGTCACATTTTACAATTGATCGGTGACACAGCGGTGGATATCTTAAGATTATTGAAGCATATATGGTATAATAGGTTGAAAACGACATTGCGGCGAACGTCTAAACTCTATAAGTGTTGCGATAAGAGCAAGACGATTCATTGATGCGTTTTTATCAGATATCTTCAGCCTATTTTAAAATATTTTATCTGACAAGTGATAAAGAGTTAGTCCACTTGTATCATCTCACAGAACTCATACGATATCAGAAACTTGATGATAAAAACAACTACCGTTTTCAACACGTAACTACACGTTGCTTTATATAATTTAATTATTTATAAGCAACATAGATGTAATAAAACTGTATTCCACTAAACACTTAGATATTAAACACGTGTTTTAACCCTTTGATCGCTGGATGTCAACTTGGTTATAAATAAAAAAAAATAACCTTAGAAATGTCATTCAGTTTTCAAAATCGCATTTTTGTAGCCTACGCATTAGCGTATCGTATCGTATTAACGATAACTCGTATTTAAAGAATGCTGGTTTCTGGTATATCAAATAAATTAAGTATTTATACAAAATCACAAATTTAAGGATATTTTTCACAGTTGAAATAGTTCGACAGTTGAACGTGAATTAAGATGAATTATATAATGATGCATGTACACTAGCGCAAGTTTTCCACGTGCTGAGTACATAATGGAAGTAAGAAACGACATCTAACGAGTAAGTCTTGAGGGCCTGCTTCGCCGTCAACAGTACCACTTGTCGATTTTTAACGATCACAAAGAACTATAGCTAGGCTACTATTCACGGATGTACTTTGTACGTTTACTCCAATATACGATACTAAGAAAGAAAATTAATCCTTTGAATGTCCTCATAACCATTTCCACTGCTAAAGCATATTTTACAAACATATAGTTGTCTCTGTCTTAACAAAGAAAATGAAAGAGATGAAATTTTGATACATGTTGGCCGAAAGCGTTATACGCTACGTTTTCTCCGCAAAGTTAATTTGCTAAATGGGACTGACATTTGCTTAATGCGGTGTAAATGAGGGCATCTATTTACGTCTGATATTAAGAAACATACTATGGGTATTACAATGTGCGTCACTGCATTTTTAATCTTTGTTTTTAAGAAGGGGTTGATAATACGCTTAAAAAGTTTATTAAATTGTATATGTTTATTAATTTATATATTAGCTAAATACGATAAAATTACTTCTAAAAATATACAAAAAATAAATAAAAATTTAAAGGTAAAAATAACCTCGCAAGCATTGAAGCCCGATAATTAATTGTACGTCTCCGAGATGAGAACGAAGACTTATCAAATGACAAGGCTTCTATTTCATCTCCTTGTTAAGAATTAGTTTCCACCATCAAATGTCTTGTATAGAAACATACTGTCATCTCTTTCATTCGTTTCGAAAAACCAGGGACAACAAATTGTAATACATTTATCACGGAAAAAACACACACATGTAAAATCAAATTAAAATTGATGTTTTCATTTCTATTATAAAGTTGTTTTAGTTATTTTGCAAAAGATAAGTATTAAGTACATTAAGTAATTTGCTAAATACAAATAGCGAAATAATTTCTGAAATAATACAAATTAGTACGCAAAATTAGTTTTACTTTTTAAAATATAAATTAAAGGTACTTACTAAATCATTTTTATGTTTCTGAGCTCCGATGCACTAAAATCTTTGTTTACACGAAAGTAAATTATCACGATTAAAGTCTTCAGTAAATTATAACTTTTTCTTTTGATAAATTTAGTCTTCATTGTGATAATTTTCAGGAGAAACATATCACCCTCGCCTTTTTCGTTAACTTGATTATGACAGATCGGATGTGACGTCATCGCGTTCTGATTGGTGTTCCCAGTCACATAATATGACAAACATTGAAAATAATTTAATTCTCTAATTATTTCGTTGTTCAACTGTTATTCACCGTTTTATAAAAATTAATTAAGTTAAATTACAGTTATTTTTAAATAATTTAATATGAATTACTAAATTTATTTTTAATATTAAATAAAAATAATTTTACTTGTGTTATAAATGGGAATGTATGGATGGATGGATGTTTATTAGAACGTATCTGAATAGTTGCATGTAGAACACGGTCTGGAAGAACACATTAACTACCAATGTTTTATTTAATTAAGCAGGCAAGAGGTAGTAATGAATAAAAATATTTTTTATATTAAAAGATATAGTATTTATTATCTGTATGCACGTAATAGTGTCGTTCAACCTCATTAGGTTGCATTGTATGCCCTCAGAATGCTTTTAAGTCACTTAACCACGGACTCCATAGTCAATAGAATAAAGACTATTCAAAAAGGCACCCCCAGCATCTTGTAATTTATCTTGTTGGATCTCTCGAAGTGTAATTTTCTTTGACAGTCCACTATTGTGGGATTTCTTCGTAGTCATTCTAAGTTGAATCTGCCTTAAATAAATCACTAATGCGATTGAACCTTATAAAGAACGCTCGAGATAATTAAGTTGCAATTTATGCTTAATTTTTTACGCAAAGGTTTAAAAATTAGAGCCAAAATTATTTTAATAAGTTATTTAGTTGTAATTCTAATTTATTGTTATGATTTAAATCTAGATAACAATTTAATTTTTTATTTGGTAAAAAAAATCAAAGACAATTTATTGTCCTATGAATTTTTTTTAGTAACTTTTTTATCACAGAAGGAGGCAAACGAGTAACGGGAACACCGAGGTGTTCAACGACGCCCATGGACATCAGCAATACCAGAGGAACCGCAGATGCGTTGTTGTTGTTAGTTTTTGTAATTCAAATGTAACCTTTTTTGTATGACAATACAGTTGTATAATGAAACAATTTATTAGTATTAATTATAATTTATATTATAAACTGAATCAACAATGGCAATTGAGTTAATTAATACAAAAGTATAATTTTACAATATAAACAATATCTTTTAAAGATATTTATATTACAAATACTTTATCTTATAGGAAACTATATATATTGATTATTTACAAATTCTTATAAAAAATATTTCAGTTAAATCGTTTGAAAAATCTTATATGTTTCAGACAATTTATAACTATGGCACATTATGTAATTTTTAAAATTTCATATTTATGTTATGTTGATAAATTGCAAATAAATTGAGCACATATTTTATATTTTTCGATAATTGCACCAAAATTATATATTTTTTTCAATTTTTTAATTATTTACAATTTTATAAAAAAAAATATAAAAAAAACAACTTACATACATTTGTATACTAAACTTAGTATAAATAGCAATTTTAAAGCCTTTATAATACAAAAATTGTATATTCTTATATTATTTACATATGGATAAATGGAAATTTATTATATTAAAATTCAAGATTTTAGACCATTCATATTCACTCCAAATTGAGAACTAATTAACTTTAAATAAACATTTTTTGCACATTGCTCCCAATCTTTTTGTATTCGTAAAATACAACACCATGTACCTTTTCGTAATTAAAATCCCGCATATCATCCTGTAGCACAATACATCAAATTTAAACCTTTAAAACGACGAATATTGGAAAATAAGTTACATTTTAACCCGTCAATTTCTCTTGAACAAATAGTATTCAACTTTAAATAATTTAAAACGCGTCATGAACACGAGCTTTTATTTAAAAAGCTTTTGATATAAAAGCTTTGTTCTCTGACGCTGACATTACCGCAGTATACAATGAGCTTTTTATACAGAATTAAAGCTTTTAACCCTTTAATTCAATTATAAAATTATACTTGTATAAAGAAAGAAATTAAACGATTAGTATCCAGAATATTTCTAAAACTCGACCTTGAATATTTCACTGTCAAAAAAAATACGCAATTCTAAAAAAATTGGTATAACATGCTAGAAAGAGACATCAATATTTTATATATGTCTCTTTTTAGCCTGGTATTGACAACGCAAAGATATTTTTAACAGTAAACAACCCTCGGGGTCCGTTTTTCACAGCGGCTTATTCGGACGGGAAGTGAATTTACGTGACTTGAATTTTGGCAGACACAAACTCCATAGTCATTGTGACTTATTGTAATACTGTAATATAAAGTAAATTGACGTCTCTACGCTATACGCGAATAGTCAATTTTATACGTCAAACATCGCATACAAATTGAAGATTCCTTGATGGAAAAAAAATCACATTAGTGTGTGCACACCTTATAAAAAATGTCTCTTGTATTTACAATCTTATTTGCTTTCAGTGTGTGTACACCTTTATCGTTCTACAGAAATCCATCGCCCTTTAGTCTCTCACTCTATAATCAAAAACTATCACTTATTTTATAAACACCCCTTAGAAAACATTCCATGGATTACTTACAGTTTGAACACCATGTATTATGTTCTACCACTTCAGTGAATGCACACCCTTATTACCAAAAACAGAAGGATGTTTTCGATTCTGTAATCTACCACTTTAGTATATTCTCACGTCGTCAGCAGAATCCAGGATTGGTGTGTTCTATAACACATCGCTTGCAGTACTTTTTAACAGCGCGATATCCGCGCAGCGTGACAGGCGTGTCCTGTATATTGAGTTGTGTGAGACCGCGGCAGTAGTACGCTACAGCCTCCAGTCCATCGTCACCGACTAGTTCACAGCCGCGCAGTGCTAGCTTCTTTAGGTTAGGACAGCAACGTGCTAGAATCTAAAATGTTAATTAGCATTAGAATTATGATTAAATCTGAAATATATATTTATATAGATTTTTATTGATAGTATGGTTTGAACTTAATTCATCTGTATAGAAATTAAATTATAAAGGTTTGTTTGTTGTTATGAAAAATAAAAATCCGAATATAATTTACAAAAGTTAAATTTCTAAATTTAAAGTTAAAAACTAACATACAACTTTGCGTCATTTAATCGTTATCAGAAAAAAGCAATATAAAATCGAATTATCTTAAAATCGGCACTTTTAAATAAATAATTTATATTTATTACAACTTGACAATCTATTTATTTACTTATTTATTTTTTGTCTCTTGCTTTTTTGTCTTTCTGTTATGGTCTGAAAACCGTTTAATCTCTTT